AGATTAGCCACTTAGTTCTGAAATTTTCTTTATAGCATCAAGAGAGAGGGATTATACAAGGTCTGGTTCTGATATTTTCTTTTCTTCTGATTCATTAATAAAAGATAGGCACTGAGTCTCAGTCAGGTCTGGGTTTCCCTCAGTGCCTCTGACACTCTCTTGGATTTGTGGAGTTAATTACATTCTACTAACCTTTGCTTCCAAGGCCCCCAGACACTTAGAAGCTAACAGCTATGAATCAGATCAGCTAAATAAAAGCAGCATTTTCATTTTCTTGTGAGTTCTATCTGAACCACAAGTACAGTAAGAATAAATCCAGAATTCTGGAACATGGTCCTCATTTGAAATATTTTTGAGTATGAATATAAAATTTACACAGCAGAACTCATGCTAAGTGGTGACTTTTTAGTTTTAATAATATTATCACTATTGATATGATATATTAAATTTGATACATCGAAGCTTGGAAATAAAAATCATATTTTAAAAATATAATTTACATTTTTTTATTTGAAGTATTTCTATGCTGTCAGGATTACTTATAACTACTGCCTCGAATGATTTCCCTGAGTAGCTGGGATTCCTAGATTGTGCTACTTTCCCTGGTTAAAAATTGTTTTGTAGAAGAGTTCTTATTTTAAAGCTGTAGATAAGCTGGTTAGGATGGCACATGTCTGTAATCCTGGCACTCTGGAGGCTGGGGCAAGAGGATTGCTGTGAGTCAGAGGCCAGCCTGGGCTACACAGTGATACTTTGTCTTAAAAAACAAAAATTTAAAATAAAGCTCCAGTTAATCTTTTAAGAATAGTAAATGAAAATTATGTACAAACTGATGAAATGTTGTATAGAACAGGATGAAAATGAATACTTCAGGGTGTGACACACATTATACAAATAAAAACATATTGGAAACTAAAACTTAGTGACTTGGGATAAGAGTAGAAGTTGACACTTATCCATAGTTAGGAAGACCTGTTCACTCTGAAGAGCCATCAGAATTGTTTGCTGATCAGCTGGGAGAAAGGGGCTGAAAGGGATTACTTAGCAAATAAGTCAGCACTTTCTTCATCAACTTAAGAGGATGAGATTTTTACTTGAAGTAAGAAGCCGAGTAGAGATGGCTCAGAGTAACAAAAAAAAAAAAAAAAAAAAAGTCCTCTTATTCCCTTATACGTTTAGAAGCCTTTTAGTAGTTAAAGTAATATAGGGATTCTATGGGGCTAGGTTACCAAGTTTTGTACTATGCATCTGCCTTATAATCACTTGCTCTGCCTTTGAGGACCCGTTCCTGTTTTCCTCCATTTCTGAAGTACATGCGCAACTGTGTGCTATCTTTTACATCCTTTGGATGGTGGCAGAAATTTATCTTTTTGAGTTACGATTGATCAATATATAATAATCCAACTTCAGGCTGGCGGGAACAACAAAGCTCACCCCTTTGTTTCTCATGATCTGCTTTAAATTCTCCAGTCTAGACTACAGCACGCCTTCTTGTCCTTCGGGAACGAATGCGCCTGGGCGACACTGGCGTGGGGAACGCGTCTGTGACAAGGAGACCGAGTGGCAAAGCTGGTCGGGGAAATGGGGGACCTGCCAGTCACGAGACCCAGGACAATGCCAGGACCCTGTGCACAACTTCCGGTGAGCTCCCGCGATGGGACAGCATGAAAGAAGACGGCTCATTTTCTCAGGCCTTTATTTTTGTGCTTATTCCTTTTCTCCTTGCTCAGCCCAATTCACTCTACAGATCTGGCTTCTCCCATACCTGTTTACCCTGCACTTTTCAAATGAACCTTTCGCACCGTTTTTGTCTTGTCTCATCCGTTTCTTTGTTCCAGGCAAGAAGGACCCGGAAGACTTTTGATTTTTGAGCTATTTCTAGAGGAACTGCCTGGTAAGGTCTGGGCCATAGCTGTAGGACAGGTGCTCCAACAGGGTGCCCAGAGGGCCCCCAGGGCTCGGTGTGGCCAGACCTCCAGGTCTTCCTGGAGCATCAGGATGACACCCCAGCCACAGGTTCTGGCATCAAGGGAAGCATCTGGAGCAGAGCGGAAATGTCCTCATCTGAAACTGCGGTACTAAACAATCACGGCACGAGGTGCCCCTCTTACTTCTGACCTCTCCTCCTCCTCCGCACCCCACTCCTTCTCCCTCTCCCTTTCCCCTTCTTCCTTTTTTACCTCTTCCTCCCCTCCTACTTTCTCTTCTCCTCTTCTTCCACCTCCTCCTTTTCCTTTTCTGTATCATCTTCTCCGTTTCCTTCTTTCTTGCCGTGCTGGGGATAAGACCCCAGGCCTAACTTATGGCGGCCGCTGAGCTACAGCCCCAGCCTCATGCTTCTTCTTTATTTCTTCTTAGTTATGTGCTCTTCGGCAAATACCAAACTGTGGCCTTTTTTGGTTGGGAAAGTTAGAGGCATGGTAAGGCAATCTGATCTAAGCCAGTGCACATTTAAAAGCAAACATTCCTCTAGGTTACCACAATGAATGTATAGGAATGTCTCTAATAAACATGTTGGACTGCATGTTTAACACTCCTACTAGCCAGAAATAAATTCTGTACCTTCAAACAGATGGCTCCCATTTGCTTAGCAGAACTGGTTCTATGAATTTGGGTTGATGAGCTCATGCCTTTCCCCAAAGTATCCACTCTCATATTTATATATATGACCAATGTAGCCAATCTCTAACCTCGGTCTCCTATCAAACAGTTAGGAAATACACAGAGGTTCCTATCACTGCAGGAGAGAGCACCTTTCTCTTCTCCCGCTTTCTCTACCAGGGGTTCTGTCAGGGGCAGGTGTACCAGTACTGGGAGGTGGCTGACAGTTGCTGGTGACCCCAAAGTCTCCAGTCGGCTGATTTTGACAAACAAATGCCCATGTGCTGATGTTTAGCAAAGGAGTACCTAAGCCTGCTCTGCAAATATCCTGGAAGGAACCGTCTCCCTTCTTGGCTCTCCTCTGGAATATTTAACAGCATTCTCAAGCAGTACACACTCTGGCGATCACAGCAATCTCCATGGGTAAGCAGGAAACTCTTGACTGATCAAACTCCAATTCCCACGTGCCTTGTCTGATATTTAGCTGGCTCTTGCCCTTTCATCCAACCTCTTTGGATACAGAAGCCAAGAGCTTAAAAAAAAAATCAAAATTCCTAAGCAATGGACAGAAGGAAGGGAGCACCATTTCCTGATAACGCTATAATTCCAAAATTAGTTTTACAAACAAAAGAAGGAGGGGACCTTGACATCATTGAATTCCCACAGCTGGTGTAGCTAGAAAAGACTGGACGCCAGCCAAAAGTTTCAGAATGGATCTTCTTACCTTGTGTTAACTAGAGAATAAATATATTTCCAGATCTGTCCCACAGGAAGTGCACAGATACGCAGCAGGAAAATGACAGGGAAAAGAAGGGGTATTTTGTGCATTTTTTCCTGATAAAACAATGAATGGCTCTCTTCTCCACGTTCATGAGATTTAACTAAAGCAGATCATAGAGAAATGAGAGGAACATTTCATCTTCTTTCTAGAAAGTTTTCCCATCTTCTTTTACCTGAGAACATTCACTGTCCTTTGACCTCTGGCACAGCACCCAGGTGGGGTCTATGACGATTCTTCACCACCTTCACCACAGCAATTGATCCAATGGGTAAGCGTGATACAAGTGAGGTTGGACCTAGTGGCGTGTGCCTGTAATCCCAGCACTCAGGAAGCTGAGGCAGGAGAGTCTCTCTGAGTTCGAGACCAACCTGGGCTACATAGTGAGTTCCAGGTCAGTCCCAACTACATAGTGAGACCCTGTCTCATAAAACAAACAAGTGAGGTCAATCAAATTCCTTCTCTGAGATTTATGTGCAAGTAGCTCTGTTCCCTGGAAGTGGGTACGAATTGAGGCCCTTTGCTTGTCAGCACAATAAGCCAAAGCTGACAACCTGAAGGGGTGAAAATAATTTTCAGGGAGGATGTAAGGTAGCTTTCAGTAACAAAGAAAAGCTTCAATTAACGGGAAAACTCATAAAGTCAGCGTTTAGGGAAAAAGGTACCAATACCTAATACAGGATTTCCTCAAGGGTCTGGGGCTAACCTCCAGGATGAGTCCGCAGTGGTCTTTTTCTGTAATCCCTGGGTCAGCTCAAGATTTAAATTTCTAGGAAAAAAATAAGTGCGGTAGGCTCTGCTAGTCACAAGCCTCCTCCTGGGCTGAGCAGGAACGACCTTGATTGATAGGCCCAGGAGACTGCAGGGATGTGAGAGGGGCTTTCCCCCAAAGGAAAATCATGCTTCACTGCTGCAAGGAGACTGGCTCTGCACAGGCAGAAACCACAGAGGGCCAGTGCGCCTGTGAGCCGGGGCAACTGGGGACCCCTTGCCACCCTGCTCCTGTGGGTGCAGTTGAAAATCCTGCACCTCAGCCTCCTTCCCAGCCTAGCAGCTAATACGCTTCTTCCTTTTTAAACTGGTTTCAGTTTGGTTTCTGTCACTTCTAACAGACAAAGTTCTAAAACACGGTTAGTTTTACTTCAGTGCTTTTCGGGCTTAGAGGTCTGTGAAATATCCTTTTGAAAACTATAACTGGCTTAAAAGTGTGTGTCGTAAATGAATTCAGCCACAACGTCTAGCTGGGAGAAGCAACATTTCTTGGTATCTTCTGTGCTGCAAATCCCAGCTCTTCAGGGATTCCTGCGGCAGACGGTTTTAGCCTCAAGAGAAATCCCGACATCACTGAGAAGCTTTGGCTCGGAACATAGTGGATCTATTTCAGAAAAAGATTCTCCGTGGTCAAAGGAAGAGACAACCAGATAGGAAGTCTCTGAGCATGTATACATTAAAAGATAAATAAAAGTTAACTTGGTAAAGCAAAAATTAAAATTCCTTAGGAATTTGTATTTAGAAAGTTCACTTTGAAGTTGTCGGGTGTGTGGTTTTTCCTTTTCCCTGTCGTTAGTTGCTGCTGATTATTGGTCTACCTGTAAATGATTCCTGGGCGTAACATCTATGCCTAAGGATTCAGCAATCGTGCTGTAGAAGATTCTTTTGCAAATGATGGGACGATGATTCCTGTGGGGAGACACATTTTCACCTTTTTTGCCTCAAAGTCTTGTCATTTTTTTGTCTTTTAATGACACTGTTGGCACTAGTATGGGTACAAACTTCCCTTTTGTGCTTTTTTTTGTTTGTTTGGGTTTTTTAAGACAGGGTCTCACTACGTGGTTGAGACTGACCTGGAACTCATTATGTAGCCCAGGTTGGTCTCGAACTCAGAGAGACCCTCCTGCCTCAGCCTCCAGAGTGCTGGGATTACAGGAGTGTGTCACCATGCCCAACTCTTTTGTGTTTTTCTCTAGACATCAGCCTGAGCAGTCTGATGATGTGGGTAGTGAATAGTCCTATTTGACAAAGTTCCAGCAGCTGAAACAGTGAGATTCCAGGGCTGGCCTTGTTACTTTCTTAGGAAGCACTAGGTAGAGAGGTAAGATAAATATGTGTTCCATGTGAAAGAAGGTTACATGTAGGACCACTGGTCAAGCACTTGTGTTTTTTAAAGAGTTGCACTGAGATGAAGTGGAAAAGGATGGCATGGCATTGTTAAGTTTAAAAATCTACTCACAAATGGACATGTATTCAAGTCTGACCTCGCTCCAATGATTACGAACATGACCTTTATCTGTTTGTAATTCTGGAAAGTCAAAATTTTGTTTAGATCAATGTACTTTAAAATACACTTATCCTTTCAGTAGGGTTGTGAGTCATTATCAGTGAGAAAACTCACATTATAGAATTTCCTGTTAATCATTTTTTTGTACAGGGATGAAAATCATTTTAAAGTGGTTTATATTAACAGTGCTGAACACCACGGCTGAGGTCTCATTACAGGACATTTTCATCAACCCCAAATCCCTGTTTCCTTAACGTCAAGTTGCATCGGGAACTTTGGACATGAAATTTGAATGAAGAGAGGCACACATACTACACGGGACAGTAGATTTAGGTTAAGCGACTGGGATGGGAATTATGATTTTAAAAACAAGTTTAAGATATTGTCTAGAGTCAGTTCTGCACGTCGGCAAAGAGATGTCTCCTGGCCTTTTGAAGAACAGGAAAGCAATAGTCGGATGCCTGAAACTAATGAGTAAGTTGTCCAGGGTTTAAAAACATACTCGTGCCACTGAAAAGAATCAGTGCCACATTTATCCTACTATAAGTTCTCTCCCAAAATGTGGCTGGCTCTCTTCTAACATTGAGCCTTAGACGTGCCTGCCCTGGGATGTACCAGCACTACCTGGGGGTGTCTCCTTAGTGGGAATAAAACCAAGAGATGGCAGGACTTTCAGTGGGTCAATGGCACAGGCGAATCAGGACTAGATACCTTACTAAGTAGTTGTCCATATTTAGGAAAAAAGAAAGAGTGTATTCCTTTAAGTACATTAGTTTGAAATCTATACTGTGTTCAAAGATAGGAGTTATATTACATCAGATGTCTACTCTCACTAAGAACAGGATTTTTTGCAAAGTAACTTTGTTCTCCTAACCCAAAGGAAGCAAAGATTTTTTTTAAATTAGCCTTATAAGCTGAGATTGACCAAACTTCTAAAAGGAGTGTAATAAGCATTTTCACTGAATTCTGCTAGTACATAAAGCTGTAAGCACTTCAGGTACAGGCAGTAGAAATTATGGAAGGACTCTACTTTGGGTTGTGATTATTTGCACAAAGTAAAATCAACAAACAACATTCAGGCTACAAGTTTCTTGTTGTACCAGTTTTATATTAAAGATGTTTTTCTTTTCAGTTGAAATTTCCATGAACATAAATCCTTTATTTCCTTGGAAGTAATTTAAGCACATTGCTAGTAAAATAGTTGACTATGTTTATGTAAAAAACAAAACAATAAATCTGGTAGCTTTTCAGCTTGAATATGAATATGCGTAAAGATATCCCTAGCATTCTGAAATATCCCTCTGATCAGAATAGTAATCTGTAGACTGCTTAGCAAATGAACCAAACAAGGAAAATTGTACATTTGGGTAAAAGGCATTTTAATTTATTTAGAAATATTTCATAAATTTCCTTGTTAGAATTACAAACATCAGTTTGTTGCTAAAACAAAAAAAGCAGCTTCATGTTAATCCGGGTAATGTAACATTATCACTTAAAATCAACATTTTTCTCTTCTTACAATGTGAATTGTTGGATAAGCCAGTCCTTTAAAGTACGTAGTTTATTTCACTTGTGAAGGCTGGGAGGGAACTCTGTCCAATTCAATCCACTCTTCATCTATTATATGGCCTAAAATTATACCACTAGAGATTTTGTTTTGGATTATGAGGATGCCTTGTTAATTGAAAAAACATCTACCTATGGGGTGAGGGGCTCCTTAAGCATTCCCTTACATCTTAACTGGACCACTAGCTGAGAACACGCCAGAGATCCTGGTGTTGTCTTTCTTCTTTTCAGTAACGGAACATCACTGGCTTTGAGGAAGTGGTTCTCTCCCAGTCCAGCTCTGTACTTCTGGTGGGTGCTGCTAGTCGCTGTTCTTTCCTCACCCTGTCTCCCCTCTGCTGTGCCATCCAGTGGTGGATACATGACTAGAGGATGTCCAGTCATAGTTCCCTATCCCGGTCACCAAGATTGGCTCATATCCAGGGATGAGTGCCAAACCCCAGCTGGACAATGTTCATTCTTAGAACTGCTGGAAAAAATTGTTATATTTCTTCTCTGGAGAAGAGAGGTTAAGAATTGCAGCCCAGAGCTGTTTATCATCGTGTTTGCAGTTTTCTTCTGACGTCTGGCTTAATAGAAGGAAATCTCCAAGCAAAGAATAGTACGGCAGAGTGGCAGTGTTCTGATGATGCCCGACAGCCTGAATCCACTGGACTCTGAGGCTAATGGACGTCCTTGCTTGATTGTTTACAAGTGCCAATGTTTCCTTTCTCCTTTAAGTTAGATCTGAGAGCCACAAGGGACACAAGATAACTTAGGAAGGGTGGTTTTTAGGTCCAGAATATGTGGGTGTGGGTGGGACAACCCCGATTGTTCTGTGGTTATGTAAGAACCATTGTGTGTTAAAGTCACTGGATATCTTCTCAGACTTTATTGTGCGGAGAGTTGAGAGGTGGGGCAGAGGGACCAAGACCTCTAACAATGCCAACGAACACTACTCTGGGACCGGAATGGCCTTGACAGTCTCCAAGAGCACTGAAGTCGGGTTGAGGCTGCATGGGGCTTGGAGAAGACTAAGAATGCATAAATACTCAAATACTTGATTTGAGGCATTCGACCTGTATGTTGGTTCAGTGACTCAGTTTCTCCCTGTATGAGAGAAGCAATGTATATGTCCAAAAGAATCACTATTTTGACCCATAATAGATTTAGAATGGCTTTAAATTTCATAATAGATTTAGAATAAATTTAAATTTCAGTGTTTCTGCACATCAGTGAAGCCTTTCCTCCCTTTTACTGGTAGTTTAAAAATAAAATTATAGAGAAAAAAGGGTAAAGAAAAAAAGACGGAATTTATTATTTTCTGCCTCCCCTGAACCATTAATGTTCTGGTACTTCAGTATCATTTAAATATCAACCTATCAAAATATCCGAAATCAAGTTGTCATTAGGCAGTGATAATATTTTTGTCAAAAATGAAAGTAATTATAGTTAGATGTCTTGCAATAAATTTTTTTTTCACTAGATTTAACACAGTAGAGAAGCTTAAAGCATCTGTCATGTAAGTTGGAGAACTTTCTCTAGGGTTTTTATTTGTTTTTTGGTACTGGGGATTGAACTCAGTTCCTCGTGCTTACAAGGCAGGTGGCAGAACCTAGCCCTCACCAGTGTGTTTATAGAAGCTTCTTCTTATGCAACCACTTGAAATCTGGCTATGATGCCTTGGAATAAAGACCTTTAAAAGGATAATAACCCCTTAATAATGTTGAATAGATTTCACTCACTTAGCTCTTATGGTGTTAAAAACCAATTTGTAAACCATCTGGCTGTGATATTGTTGAAAGAGAAAGAAGTTGACCATCAGCACACGCTTCAAGTCACCAGTGTGGCATCCATTCGAGCCCTGGAAACACTCTATTCAGAATTGAGAACGAAGGCCAAGTTCATACTCAGCGCTTTACCATTTAGTTACGAGGCTGGGAGGGTCCCCCTCTCTGAAGCTACCATGTCACCCACTTCTTCCTCCTCCATTTATTTCCCAGCTTCTCCTCTTTTTCCAGAATTACTCATGAGTAACAAACGAAGCCGGAGTAAGAACAATGGCATGTTCCTGGCTCTGCAAGAGTGGTGCACATCAAAGGAAGACATTTATCCCAGGAAGCCATAGCTCTGCCGGAGGTCACCAGACAGAACTAAGGTTGATATCGCTGCTACATAGCAGAGAGAAAGTCCTTAGTCTGTTAAAGCTGGGGAAAGCACTTAATGCAGGGTTGGCTGCTGCTGTAGCAGCTGACTAGCTGGACTGTGTTCTGGATTTGTTCATGTCTAAGGCAGACAAATGAGTGCAGGTCTCTAAATCTTTGCTCATTCTTACAGATCCCACAAGTGCACCTATCTTAGGCTGTTTTGAGAACTAAGTGTATGTGAAATGCTTGGCAAAATGTCTGGCACATGGTATTAAATGTTAACTTGCATTATTGCTAATGATAACCTGAGGCTTCCCCTCACGCATATGTGGAGCTTTTTGGTAAGAGAGGTATTTCTAAATAAAACTCGAAACCAATGTAGTTTTTCTGAACTATCCAATTTCCTCTCTGACCAGCCTTCCCTGCTCGGTTTCTAGGTCGTTCATCCCCTAGTAAGATTCTTGCGTCCTCCTTCTGCCTCAGCGGACCAGCCTGTAGATACAAGACGCTCGGAAGAGCAGAGCAGGGCAGGAGGCACCCCCGGCCTGTACTTCCGGCCCCTCTAAGAGCCCCGTCCCTCAAAGCGGAAGGCCTTCCTTCCCAGGCTCTGTCCTTCCCTGACTCAGTGGCTTCTTCCTCTTCGGAGACTTCTGAACGAACCGCTTGGTCATTCCCCGCCCGCCCCGTCTAAGGTGAAGGGAATCCAGGCTGTAGCTGGGGGTTCACATGGACGCCCCCCTCATCCCTACGGGGTCCACCCAGCCAGCGGGCTGCTGGACTAGGACGCCGCCCAGCCTGGGCCTCGCATCCTGCTTTGTTGCCAGGGAAACTATGCGACTGACCCCGGACGAGGGGCCGGCCGATACTGACCTCTGGGGGCTGACTCTTTTTCACAGAGCGTCTTTATCTTTTCATTGAGTTCCAGCGCCATGATGGCAGCCTCTTGCTTTGTTGCTGCCAAATCAATTTGTAGCTTTTTCAGTCTCTTTTTGTGCTTTAGTTCCTTTAAAAAAAAGTTTCTATTACTAGAGACAAGTGAATCAATAGAGGAATTAATGGTGGGTGAACAAACATTGCCTTTGGAGCCCCACTTAGAGGAACTGCCATGCCCGTGTGTCTAGAAGGAGTACTTAGGAGTCTGTGACAGTGTGTGTTCTCAGATCTTTTTAATCCCTAGCAATAAAAACCCACTCCCTACATCATAAGATCTTCTAACCCCTGGAAAAGTTTTTAATCTGAATCTGGACCCTGTGGATTGGCCATTTATAATAGAGGCAATTAGAGAGGAATGCTAGTTGCCAGTTGGCTTTATCCATGAAGGGCTAATGCCTGAAAGTGTTAGGTTTTTGGGGTTTTTTTTTTCCCACTCTGTAGGTAGACTCATGAAATAAAGCCTTGATTCTGAGTTACCCCCATATTTGAATATTATTTGCAATCAAATTCTGAAGTATAGGAAGTTACCACGAAGCGATGATGTTTACAGATATTTATTATGGTAGCTATATGAGGACGGTGTTCTAGGATAAGACTGTTCTGAAGCAGAAGAGGAAAATAAATCCTTGCTATAAAGCTGTTCTTATTTTTAAATCTAAATGTTTGGGAGAACTCCATTAGGCAATTGTTACATAACCAAAGGATTCACCTTGATGCTTTACAAAAAGCTCCTTTATTGGATTTCAAAGTGGATTTGATTTGACAGAATTGGATTCACCTGCAATGTTGGAGAAGCTTTCTGTTGTGACAAGTGCTGCATTTGTACTTTTGTGTTGCTTTTGGGTCTCTGCCTTCCCACGGGAGAACTCACCTTGCCAAGTCTTTGTGGGCTTGTAACTATGAAGCCCAGAAAATGAACGGCTAACATTGCTTGCCAGATATAACTCTTGAGGTAGGGAAAAAATGTTTTTTGCTCACTAGGGAAGTGTTTATTCTTCTGAGGCCTTATGCACCAGAGAATCACCCTCTTCTTTGAGAGGAAAGCCAGTGAAATCAAAGATGGAATTAGATAGCTCTGGACTTGCCACTTTAAAGACAGGTTGTTGGGCTAGGGGTGTAGCTGAGTGGAGGAGCATTTGCCTAGCATATGTGAGGCCCTGGGTTCCATCCCCAGGAAGGTGTGTGCGTGTGTGTGCGTGTGTGCGCGTGTGTGTGTGTGTGCGTGCGTGTGGGGGGGTTGTCTTCCAGATCTAACACAGGATGGTGGTGCGCATAGCTCAAAGGGAATGTGTTTTCCAAAGGAATAGCAGTGCAGCAACTTTCAAGGGGGTTGGAGGGCTCACCCCACACAATCCGGGTGAGAAATGCCCTGACCACCCAGGACACCTCTCTTCATGGCAGTTCTCCTGGACAGGTGGCTCCCTGGGAAATTCCCTGGGGTCAGGTACCCTACAGGCTGGCTTTTGAAACATAAGGATTAATAAGATCTCTGTCTCCAGACCCAAAACCTTCCAATTCCTTCATTCTAGTCTCCGTTCACCAAAAACCTTCTTCATTTGGGTGGCCATGTAAATAGTTCAAGTAGAGACTGAGTGATCAGGAAACGCTCCTGGGCATGTGGTAGCTGTGTTTCTCATGGTGAATTAGTAAACTGTTGTGCTAATCCAGGTCTTCCTCTCTTGTGTGATAGTTTGAGTCAGCTTGCTCTGGAGGACCTCTTCCATCCCAGGCAGGCAGCTCTGGGCGGTCATTGGTGACCTTTTATGATGCTATTTTGATGCTGTTCCACATTCAGATTTTTACACTTTTAAAAAATCACTGAGAACTTTGGGGTCAAAAAGTGGAAGGAAGAATTTAGAAATGAAAATAGAGAAATAGGAAGGAAAATATTACAAGAGGGATTCAGAGGGGAGTGCGGACTAAAAAAAGTATATAAAAAACCAAACCCTAAAACCTTGATAATAAAATGCAGGTTGCAGTGGTGAAGATTATGTCCACTGGTGAAGGCAAGTTACACAGAAGCACATTCAAAAGCAGGCCATGTTGTTATACAAATATAGAAAGGAATAGACATGAGACACATTGAAGAGAGCAAAATGTTAATCATAGAAGTAATGGTTTAACTGTATGATGTTCACTATAAAATGACTTCACCTTTCTGTATGCATGAAAATTTTCACACTAAGATATCAGAGAAAGAAAAGTCAGTTTTACTTTCCTTACATTGCCCTCCTTTATTATTTCTTAATAGTGATAGTCACATTCTCAGATCAAGTCACAACTATTCAGATGGTGACACTCAGTGGCACAGTCTAATTTTCTTAGTCTATGTTTCTATTTTGACAGGATGACTTGACAGAGTACGGGACTCTATATTACAAGCACAGAGTCTCTTAATGTCAGGTAACAAATTTTAATGTGTGTGTGTGTGTGTGTGTGTGTGTGTGTGTGTTTTGGTGACAGAGATTGAACCTAGAGCTAAGCATGCATTCCTCCATTTAGCTACCATAGTCTGTCAACATGTCCTTTATGAAATTTTGACTTTTTAAAAAATATAATTTCCAGACTACCTTTTTTGTCCTTCTTTATCACTAACTAGGTTCTGTCTCTTCTTGTTGTTACAATATTTATATTTTTGCCCTTTGATCTAGGGGGAAATGGAGGCTATTTATTTGGTTTGAAGAAGACAGTACACAAGGCAGTAGTGGTAATTGACTTCAGTTATTATCAAAGGGACAGTTCAGGAGTAGAGGAAGTTGAATCAAAAGGTATTGTATTATTCAAGAATACGGGGTAGAAAACTTGAGGAGGCAGGTTTTGACACTCCATGAGAAAGCACTCTCCAACAGTCAGGGACTCCATCATATCAAGGAAAGAAGGGGTCTGGCCAAGACCTCTCGCTCTGGCAATGGCCCACCAGAGACTGGGCGAACACTATGGGCAGGTCACGAGGTAGTTGGAAGTGTGACTCAATCTCAGTCTTTTCCACCTGGCCTGACCTAGCTGACCCCCACGCTCAGCCCTCATAGCCTCTAGAGTTGGTACAGTTGTCAGGGACACCATAAAGGTAATTCTGGTAGTTATAAGAAATCAGATAAGAAGCCCATGGGCCCCTTAGAGTTCATTGTGACTTAAAACACACAATCTTTATTATTCAGCTATAGGGAAAGGGGAGAATAAAGTTAAATTTAGGTTAAAAATCAAATAAAAGACCTCGACTAGTTGACTGAGGTTTCTACTGGGACCTTTCAGTTATTCAAATACTTTAAAAAATAGTTTCATATCATTGCCTTTTTTTCTAGTCTCTAGACAGAATCACTGTCTGTTATTAATTCAGAGCTTTAACCAAGTCCTTGGGGCAGTTTGAAAAATTCGGTTTGCCAATATGTTTTGCATTAGTCATAGACACCAAATGATTTAAACTATGATAATATTTTCCTTTGCTTTTTTGGCATTCATTAGCCAGGCAACCCAAGTGTTGTCTCTGAATCCAGTGGAGTCTGTATGGTCTCCGTAGTAACTAGAGGCTTTCCTAAGTGATTGCCCAGTGGCTAGGAAGGTTTTACAGCTTGGAGGTAAATTCCTGTTAACTTGCTTTCCCCCTACTTTTGCTACATGGTGGAAAGAGAGAGGAAATCATGTATTTGTGCAATGTTTTGAGAAGGAAATATTTATCCGTATCATATTGCTGAATGGCTTGCATGACATCAAGTGAATGAGAATTAGAAATAACCAAGGGACTATTATTAGAAGGGTTTCAAAGACAGGTGCCAGCTCTGTATAAAATTTTGGGATATTTCCACACACTTTGAATCACGGTCTCTGATTATGAGGCTGGGCTTTGCCACTCACTGGCTGTGAAAAATTGGGCCAGATACATGCTGTCTCCAAAGCTTAGATCTCATTTAATAGGGCTGTTGTGGGGATCAAATGATGCACTACAAAATCGACAGTACCCAGCACTGGGATTGCGATATAGTGATGTCTTTCCGTTCTTTGTCATTATAACCTGAAACGTACAAGTAAAAACTTCAACCCTTCAGTAAAACACTAAGATATCGTTTCTAAAGATGTCCTTGTCATACCTTACAGAAAATAAAATTTGTACTTATTTAAGAGCCATACTTTTGTCTTTTTCTTCTTTTTTTAAAAAAATACATTTTATGCATGAATGCACTGATCTCTTCCTGACTGTGTACGGGTAGATAAAATTAACTTAATGTCCTGAAAACAGATACGCAAATAGCCCTGACCCAATCTCCTGCCAAAGCTGGCCTGATGCCACAGTGAAGTAGATGGCCTCCTGCATGGAATGATGAGAGCCGCATGGCCTGAAATTTGCTTCTCCATGGTAGGGCTCTCTTGCATCTGTCAGAGCACAGCTTTTCCTTACTTTGTCTGAAAGCTACCCTGCCCAGCCTATCCTCGCTATCTTAGAACAGTAAGACAGTGCTGGCTTTTGTCTCCGGAGGGTCACTGATAGGTTGGTAGTCACCGGGAAGTTTACTACCAAGGTACATGGGAACATTTGGTTTGAATACAAAAGGTGTACACATGTTCCTCCTTTCATTTCTCCTCTAGTAGTCATCATTAATTCTAAAGCTAATAAAAGTACAGTAGCCTTTGAATACAACTTATCTTAACAATCAGGCTTGTATCTGTCACTTTGATTTTTATTTGTAGTGCCCTGTTTTAACGTCCAGGGCTGTACATGTGTACTCCTTCCCAGTCCACTGGGCCTTTGATTTCGGGATGCTTTCATCCTGTATTGCACACCCGGCTTCAGAGTCCTTAACTCACACTCTCTCAATGACGAACCCACTTGTCTTTCAAGCTATAGCTCTATATCGACAAGAAAGCACAGCTACCAGGGAGTTCAAGCAGACTGAATCCTCTTCATATAGTAAGTAGCTAAGTGGACTTGAACCAAGTTCTTTGCTGACTGTTCTTTTCAATGGCAACACGGCACTACCTTAGTCCATTAGCACTACATGTGAGTTTTTAAATGATTCCAGGTAACCTAGAAAGGCGACATAACAGGCATGGTTATCAGGGAGAAACTTAGTGGTG